ACCATTTCTCCAATTTGTCCAGACCACCTGACTAATTCCCCTGTAGCACAGCCAGACAAGCCGCAGCAGGGGACAGCTCCCTAGGGGCTGGGCACAGACACACGTCTACACTGTCTCAGCCTGTGTTCGTTAGCATTTCCTTCAAAGCAGCCGGAGTACGGAGTTGCAGGTATGCTGGGTAGAGTGGGACCATGCCTGCAACCTGCAGCAGCAGCATACTCAGTGCTACACAACTGGGGCCTGGCCCCATGGAGCCTACAGGCAAAGCAGAAAACAGAGCAGCTATGCCCCGGAAGTGGGTGATGCTCCCGCCCTGCTGAAGTCCAGCAGCCTTGAAGAGAGCTGGTGATGGCACCAAAGAATCCCTCCAGCTGCAGCTGTCCCAGCTCTTCTGCCCTGGCACCACCCTCCCGAGTGCTGGTAGCTGGCAGAGCTAAGCCTGTGCGAGGGCAGCTTAACCCTGCATGTCCCATTCAGCTGCTCCCTCTGGGTACCACCACTCTCCCCCGCCCCCCGAGCCATACTTCCTGCCCAGCTGGGCCCAGCTCTCTGCCAACGCAGGCCTCGCAGGGCACAAAGGAGGCCTTTCTGCTGCAGGGAACACAGGAGGGAGTGGACTCTTGCCCTGGAAAGCAGGGCCACAAAGGCCCTGGCCCAGGCAGAGGAATGCATGGCCAGACTCCAGCTCCGCATCAATGGAACTTGTGCTCAGAATACAAAGGGCTCCCAGGAAATGGAGCCTGTGGGGGCTGAGATGGGGCGAGACAGGGCTTGGCGTGCACACCCTGGGGCTCTGCTCCCCAGCCTGCTCGGGCCACAAGAGCCCTGGGGGAGCGGAGAGCTCAGCCCCTGGGGGGCCTGGCCCAAGGAGATCTCGCTGGTCCCAGGTGCAGAGGCCTGTACAAGTGTAGCCAGTGCTGCCAACCCAGCTTTCTCTTGGCACCTGCCAGCAGCACAAGGGCTACAGGATTAAGGTAACATGGCAGCTTCCTGACACCCATCCTGCCAAACACCATTCATTTCCCTGGGCCAGCATACCTTCTGTGTGGCACCAGGGAACCAGCCCAGCCAGCTTCTCTGCCAGGGGTTCCTACTGGGAGCAGCAGCAGGGAGCGGGGCTGGTTGGACTACGGGGGAGGGGGGAGTGCTTTGGACACCGGGATTCCCACATGGGATTTGCCCGGGGGCCCCGCTTGCCCAGGCTCCCGACTCTGACACTACCAGCAGCTGCTGGTCTTGACCTTTTCCATAGCAGGCCCGCCCCCGCCTAGCTAGGACCTAGCCAGCACGCCCTCCATGGGCACAAAGGGAAGAGGGCAAGGGGTTGTGATCTCCTGACACTTGTTCCCTAGCTGCAGTGCAGAAGCCCTGCTGTAGCCAGTTCTGGAGGAAGCTGCTTCCCAGCCCAGCCAGGCTGAGCTCTGGGGGAGGCTGGACGCTGGAGGGTACCAGGTCCATGACACCCATCCAGAAGCAGGGGTATGTGTAAAGTGACTGTGACCGTCCTCACCCACGCAGCCCCCAAGCTTCATCTTGTTCTCTGCTGCTCCAGCAGCCCCACTGAGTCTCTTGCAGGCTCCTGATTGTGAAGAGCTCAGAGAATAGATTTGTTTTTCTCTTTGTGCTTCACAACCCCCTACCGCCTACACACAGATTTTTGTGCTAATATAATGGTGGTGGGGAGTGACTTTTTAACAACATACTTCTACCAGCACGCTCTCAGGGTGGATCAGTTAGCCAGATAGCGAACGTGCCTTAGGCAGCTCATCCCCTGCCCACCCAGGAACAGCGACCCCAGGACACGGCGAGTGGCTGAACGGCTTACTCTGGACAGATGCCACATAGGCACTTTTGTGTGCAGACAAGCCCTTAGCCTCCTAATTTCCACCATTCCTCTGCCATCGTTTATGTTCCTTCCTCTTGGCCCTGTCGGGGCTGGATTTCCTGGTTTGCCTTTCAGCCAGACCAGGTTCTCTCTTGCCTTCCTGCGCAGAGATTCACCTGTTGCTGTAACTCTCTCCTGGCTGTGGAAACACTTTCCTTGCTAACGCTGAGGATTTTAATGTGTTTTCTGACATGCTCCCTCCTGGTTTGAAATGCCCCACTATTCGACCAGTGCACAGGGCAACCCCGCCCCAAGGATACTGAGCTGCCTTATATGGAAAGTGACCCATGTCTCCGTTCCTGCTATGCCCCCCCCCCCCCCTGCACTGAGCAGGGTGCAGTCTCCAACCCCGGGGGTGGCTACACTGCAATCCCAGCTGCCATTGCAGCAGAGGTAACAAGAACTGTGACGAGGCAATCCCAGGTCTGTAGCACCTGCGCCCTCGCTGCTCTGTTTAGCCATGTTAGCACGCTGCCTGGGCTGCAGTCACACTTGGGCTGCAGCCCCCCCACACAAGGAGACCAAATTTACAAGAAAAATAGTCTAAATGTCCCTTGGGCGAACAGAGGTGGGTCTGAGACCAGAGATGGCTCCCCTCCCCTACGCACCAAGCCCCTCCCCACCCTCAGCCACATTAATGAACCACAATCACTGTGGCCTACCATTCGCTGAATGGGAACTCAGACAGTGCGCAGCCCCGCGTATTTTGCCGTCCTCCCCAAGGCTCACAAGCACACGCAGCGTTCTGGCACAGCAATGTACATTGTGGGAGCAGATCTCAACAGGTCCCAAGAGCCTGGGTGGTGAGAACTCACTCAGCAGGGCAGGCTGGGCTAGTGCCCAGCTCAGCAGACGCTGCCGATGGCGGGAGCTTCCCGGTGGCAAACAGGAATAGGTTTTGTTGGAATTATTTTGGGTACTTTAAATTACAGAAAGAAAAGTCTGAATAAATGGAGACGAGGGTGTCCAGAGCCTCAGAGCAAGGGACTGTTTCCCAGGACTCCTAACCACATCCCAATGGAATAGGGCTGGGCTTTCCCCCACTCGTGCTATGTGGCCAGGGCACAAGAACCAGGGAAAGTGAGCAGCTGGCTTTCAGGGGCCACGCGCAGAGTTAGGAGGGGCCTGGTGTGCAATTGCTCTGGGAAGGGGGGCCGGAACCATCACTTCTGGGATTTGCTTTGCGTGACAAACACATGTACTGGCGTGTGGGGAGCAATGACACATGTGGGCACGGGGATTGATCTGGTTGAGCTTCTGACCCTCTAGTGCTTTGCAAGGCAGGGACTGTTTACTGCTTCAGATGAATTGGCATCAGAAGTTGAATCCTGTTTT